AGCTCTGCTGCGGCGAGAGCAGGCTGGAAAGTAGGCTGCGAGCTGTGCAGCGGGGGCAGATGGGCTCCCGTCGTAGCCCTTGTGCCTCTCTGCTTTCTGAGGTTTAGGAATTTTTTTTATATATATATATATATATATATATATAACAAAATGCGGAATCGTAGGATTGAGTATAAATTTCAGTATGCACTTACTTTATTTGATGTTCAGAAACGGTTTATCCTGAAGACAAAGTGAGCAGTTTCTATGGTTTTCCTTTCTTAGAAAGATCCATTCTTTTCTACCAAGTAGCAAAAATAAACTTCATTAAAGGCTTATATGCAAATACACTTGGTATGAAAAGGCTTTGTAAATGCAAATGCATCATGCTTTTGGTAAATATTATTAACATTCTAATTAGGCAGCTGTAGGTGAGCTTTCACAGTGTGTTTTCACTGCCTAAATTAAACTTGCTTAGAAGACCCATTAATTCTTTCACATCATATGGCTTTTCCATTTTCTATTACGTTGGTTAGGCATCATTGTTTTTTAATTCAGATCCACCCCTAAGGCTTGCTATTTGCTATCTCTGGTATCTGTGAGAAGTGAGGGAGAGAAAAGCCATATTTAGAAAATAAAAATAAGTCATCTTCAAGCAAAGTTGAAGGCACTGTGAAGCTGCTTTCTTGAGAAAGGTGCTTAAATGTTACTGTTGCTGCCCTTATTCTTCCTATTTATGACCTTCATCTGTATCATGTTTAGAGTGTTCTTTAAGGCAGCAGTTGTCTTTTCAGGTGTCTTTGGTAAATGTCCAGCAACTCTTGGGTATTTGAAGGCAACAGTTTGTGGATACCTGCGCTGAAAATCCAGAAGGTATCCATTTGCTCTCTCTTCTGGAGCCCCTGTTAGGAATTTTTATCACAGAACCAAGAGCTTATTTTCCTTCCAGTACTGCAATTCATGTACCTCTCTTTCCTTATCTACCTTTTAGAATGCAATGGCAGTGGGGTTTTGAGTTGTTATACTGGTAAATACCAGGAGTGCGCAATCTATTAAATGGACTGTTTTATCAGTTATCAGCCTTAATTCTAGTAAGGACAGTTTATATTGTGTGTGATAAACTGTGGCATTTCTTTTCTAAAATTTCATTTAATCTTAGTAATATTCTTTCTGAGACTTTTTTGTACGTAAGGGAAGGAGAAAATACGTGAGCTTATTGATTTTGGTGTCCTGTATGGATCTATGCTCCTTTAAAAACTGTTAGTGATACATAGTATCTATGTACTTGAACCACTTTTGCATTCACAGCTAACTATTTCTGTGGCAGAAGTTGCATGGGGAATCTAAAAATAATTCTTTTCGAGCATTTCAGTTGGTCATGAAGTGGTTGACATATCGAATCAGGTAGCACAGCATCTTGTAACAAGTATTTTGAGTCTGTGCTCATGAAACGATTTATTTTAAAAGGTTGTAGCAGGCTTGCTTTTTTAATCAGACATGTAAGCATTAAATGAC